GGCAATCCTACTTCCGTAGTGATACTGCCTCGGAAACCCAAGGAGGGGTCGCTATGAGTCGGGGCCGACTCGACGGCACATAACAACAACAACAACATACTTATAATTTATATACTTCCATGCAAATGCCTTTAACAGAGGCATCAAATTCTCAAGAAATTTTAAGACATACATTAGTATAAATAATAAACAATAAAATAATAAATATATATAATAAAGCCCCAAGAATAAATCATTCTCAAAGTTGAAGTAAATATTATGTTACACAAATATTTACCTATTGATTTATTTTCTTGTATTTTTGCATTTGTTGGATTAAAGCATAGTCTTAAATTTGAGTTTTCAAAATGTTTGTTTGTATGTTCAGGATCACTTTTGAAGGTGATACACCTGGAAGAAATAAAAATATAAATTAAAATGATATGATAATTTACAAAACTAATCCCAAAAATTAAGTTTGGAGAAATGTGGTAAAGTCCCAGTTACGTAGATTTGTATGCTGTTATATTAGTATTATTATAGCACAAAATGTGAAAGATTGGGACTGATTGGGCAAGAGCTGAAAATATTAGTAACAGTTATTTAAAGTAGATAGGGACAGGAGACTATCTATTATTGTGATAGACTTGAGGACATTCATGAGCTGATAACACTTTCAGAAAAACATGCTGAAAGTTAGTTAAATGAGATATTGGGGACATTCCCATACCTGAGGCAAAGTGGTAGGTCAGTGAATTGGGTACAGCGCAGACCTCAGATAAGATAACCAGTTCTTTTTAGTACAGTGGCTCTGTATTCCGCCCATCTTCTCTTGATGCTTCCTGCATCATTCAGTATTTTGCCCATAGAATCCTTCAATATTGCAACTTGAGGCTTGACTTTTTCCTTCAGTTCTTTCATCTCGAGATCTAACTCCATCTAACTCCTGTTCTTTGCACATTTCATTATAATTCTTTACTTTGTCTTCTCTAGCTGCCTTTTGTTTTGTTTTGTTTTAAATTGTGATTTGGGTGAAAGTTTACAGAGCAAATTCACTTTCCATACAGCAACTCACATACACTTTGTCTCATGACATTGACTACAATTTACCACAATGCAACAGCTACCTTCCTACTTCCTCCCCATAGTTACCTCTTCCCTGTGTCCTTCCCTCCATGCACTTCTGCCACCTGAGCAGTCTCCCTGTGCATACACAGCCCTTCTATTCTCCCATGATTGTTCTCTCCAAGGACTGTATTTATCTAATGTAAATGTTCAGCTCATATGCCTATCTTTTGTTTGGCTGGAAGTCACGGGAGTGGGTTCAGTTCCAGACCTGAAGGGCAGCTAGGGGCCGTAGTCTCAGAGGTTCCATCAGGCACTATCAGACCAGCAAACCTGGTCCCTTTTTTTCCCCCCCAATGATTGTGAGTTTTATTCCACATTGTTCTTCTACTCTATTCAAGATTTCCTACATAGATCCCCCTCCAAGTGGTTGACAGTGGTAGCCAGGCAGCAGCTAGTTCTTCTGGTCTCCTAGTCATACAGGCTGAGGATCACATGGTGTACCAGTCATAAAGCTGCTTTTTAAAATCTTCTGTTCAGCTCTTTTACTTCATCATTTCTTCATTTCGTGTACTTCCATACTCTCCATTCAAACGCAAGTTTGAGAGTCTCTTCTGACATCCATTTTGGTCTTCTCTTCCTTTCTTTTGATGTCATCCTACAACTTGTCTGATCGTAGGTCCAGAAGTTAAAGTATAATGTTATATAATTAATGACATTTATTTCCTCTAAAAGTAGAGATTCAGTGAAAATGAGGGAAACCAACAATAAGATGGTTTGACACAATAGCAGCAACAACAGTTGAAACATATCAATGATCATGAAAATTGCACAAAACCAGGCTATATTTTGTTCTGTCATATACACTTAAGGTCTCCACAAGTTGGAGTAAAGTTGGCGGCAACTAACAACAACAACATACCTCTAAATGTTGGAGCTACACATGATTCAGACCTGAGATCTCAGATACTTACTCTCAGTTGATATCATTCAGTCCAACACCTTTAAATATTACCTAAAGCCTAATGGCACCCAGATTTATAGTTTAGCTCTCAACTTTTTCTCTTCGTTTCAGATTTACATATCCATGAATGTATACATTTAGATGTATTATAGGCATCTCAAATCTAAGATGTTCAAAAGTAAATTCTTGATTCCATCCTTTTCCCAGTATGTTCCTCACCCAGGCTTCCTGATCCCCATTCAGCCACAGGCTTAGGACAAAAATGTTGCAGTCATTCTGGATTCCTTTCTCTCATTCTTTACTCTTCAGTACCCCAGCAGATCTCTCTAGGTCTTTCTTTGAAATATCAGATTCAACCACTTCTTTCCTCCTTACTTCCACCCTAGTCTAAGACTCCTTCATCTCTCATCTGAATTACTATACTTCTCTAGCTTTCTTTTATCTGCAATCCCTGCTGTCACTCTTGTCTTGCACAGGCTGTTCTCAATGTAGCCATGGTGACACAAATAAAAGGTAAATGTGATTGTCATTTCCTTCCAACTATTTCCTGTCAGGCTTATTCTAAATTCTCACTGCCAAAGAGAAACTTTTTCCCCACTTCCCATGTTTCCAAGTAGAGGAACTTCCACTGCATGCTCTGTGAGACTTCTCTCTGTTCCCCCTCTGTATCCCTCACAGTCCTCCACTTGAGAGCAGTGAATTTTCTAGCTTGTGAGTTTAGGAGAAGAAATTTAAGCACTCACTTAAGGACCATGGCAGTGGACCAGTAGTAAACAGGCTGTCACTCTAGGGTCCCCTAATAGAGAGAATGGGAAATGAGGAGGCTTCTAGCAATGTTTCTCAAACCTCTAGCTGTAGATTAGAATCATCTGAGATGCTTTGGAAAAAAAAAAAAAAAAAAATCTAGGTACAGGCTCTTCCTTACCAGTGAAATCAAATCTCTAGGGTGGAACCCAGCCTACTTTTTTCCCCAAACCTCTCAAGTGATTGTAATGAACAGCCAACCTAAAAGTTGTCGGTTCAAACCCACCTAGCAGCTCTGCAGAAAAAAATTCCTGGTGATTTGCTTCTGTAAAGATTAAAGCCTAGGAAGCCCAATGGAGCAATTCTACTCTATAACATATGGGATTGCCAGGAGTCAGCTGCTGACTGGACAGCAGCTAACAACAATTATATCCTGGGGGCATTTTGAATTGTTCACATGTATTAACTCAATTAATTCTCACAACAACCTTGTGGACAGATATTATTATTATCACATTGTAAAGATGAAGCAACTTAGGCACAGAGACGTTATGTATTTGTCCAAGGTCACAGAGCCTGTTAGGAATTGAATATAGGCAACCACTCTATAAATCCCACCCTCTTATTCTCCATGCTGCACTAATGTCATATGGAGTATATATGGTGTATATTGAACTAGAATGAGGAGAAAGGAATTTAGTCAATTTCATTATAAGCTGACTCTATGAACATATTTGACATTTCTATTTAATTATGTATTTAATGTACTATACAAGTGTGATGGTTATGTTTGTATATCAACTTGGCTGGGCCTGGTTGAGTGGCTGGGCAGCTGGATGTAGTATTCCCCATGATGAGACTGGCAATCAACTCCATGGTGGAATCTACTGGGAGTAGCTGAGTAGCTGCCTTTGGGTATGTGGTCTGCTTCCTGTATATAAGAAGTTTTGAGAATGTTCTCCAGCCTTTGGCACGCTTGGACCCTGCATGTAGACATGTCGTTGTACAGTAGCCTGCTACATTCTGCCGACCCTGGTACTTACAATGGTCTTAAGTTAATGACCTGCCATGTGGATTGGTAACATCGGGACTGTGCCCTTTTACTTGTCAACCTTGGGGCTTCTCAGCCTCAGCAGTCAGCAGCTGTCTGAGTGAAGAAAAGCCTCTAGCTTCTGTGGGCTGGGAGCAGGAGGCAGAGCTGGACCCCAAGGTTGAGGGGCTTTCACCCAGCCCCTAGAGCCTGGCACTTTGAACTTGGACTTAAAGGCTCCAAATTGTAAGAATAAACTCTTGTTTGTTAAGGCCATCCCATTTGTGGTATATTTCTGTCAGAGTGGCACTAGGTAACCAGAACAACAAGTTTATCCTTCTCTTACAAAACTATTTATGAAAGGAATATTCTTTTAAAAAGTCTTATTTTAGGGTGTTTTTTTAAAAAGTACTTCTTCAAATGAAAAGTTTTTCTAATTTGTCTGTTTGTCCCTAATGTGTTATCTATCTCTTACTACTTTGTAAGTCCTTTAAAGTAAACTGTCATTTTCACCTGATATGGTACTGAATGCTGAGGTAATGGAGAAATTTAATTTTTCTGTCCAGAAAAAAAGAAATTACTATGCTCCAGGTGTTTTTTTAAAGTAATTTTTGTTAAAACAAGTATGGCTCTTTTTTCTAAAGGTCCAATTATAAACAGTTGCAGGAAAAAGTAGGTTTGATGTTCATGGAAAAATCTCAGACTATACATAAACTAAGACCAGAAGACAGAGATGTTGAATGATCATAAAACTCTCTGATCAGGAGAATAATCCTGGGAAAATTCTTCCAATACATTTTGAGTATAGGTGGCTATCCTTTTTATCAGTTCCTGTCTATCCAAGGGAAATGTTGAAATCCTGAGCTAATAGTGATATGGAAAAGATCTCTCTGGGAGTAAATGAGAAAGAAACACAAGGAGGTTTTTTTTTTTTTTTTTTTTTTTTAACTCTAAGCCAATGGCTCTTAATCCCAGCTTTATGCAAGAATCATTTGGGGGAATCTTTTTAAAATACTGATGCAGGGGGCCATTCCAAACTAATTAAATTAGAATCTAAGTATTTTAAAGCTCCCTAGGTGATGCTAATGTGTTCTCAAACAGGGTTTCAAACGAGTTCATTCCAGTTCAGTGCCCTACTGAGAATGTGCATTTCCACCCCAGATTTAGTGAAATAGAATCTACATAATAACAAGATCCCCAGGTGATTCTTACTGTACTGAAGAAGAAAAAAAAGCCAAACTTACTGCCCTTGAGTCAATTTGACTCATAGTGACCCCCCCCTTGGTTGGGTTTCTGAGGTGGTATCACTATAGAAATAGATTGCCCAGTCTTCCTTCCAAGGAATGGCTGGTGAGTTTGAAACCCCAGCCTTCTGGTTAGTAGTCAAATGCCTTAGGCACTACACCACCAGAGCTCCTTCTTACTCTACTGCTACTACTCAAAAGCTACAGATTCTAAACATGGATAGGTTCCACCAATTAGGTGACCACAGCACCAATTCATGAGGCCAAGAAAAAAAAAATTGGAACAAATGCATAATTAGAGTGGGACATAAACTAGAGCAGTTGTTCTCAAAGGGTGGTCTCTACACCAGCAGCATCAGTACCA